CACAAGCCTCACCGAATGTCTCCTTGCTACCGCGATCTCACCCACAGGAAGCCGCAACCGCGTGGCAGTAGGGAAAATGGCCGTGGATCTGGTTCGTAAGTAGAGGCGGAGTTCACAAGTAGAGGTGAATTTTTGGGGCCGGAGCTGGTCGTATCTTGAAAAATTCGTAAGGAGGGGCGTTCGTAACTAGACGTACCACTGTATATATAAATATATTTATCAAAACTGGTTCAATCAGAATTTTCAACCAGTTTCTACTGATAAATCTTACATTTTACCTTTATTTTCTGCTTTATTTCGTTCTGGTTCAATTTCCTTGCCTCTCTAGAAAAGTGTCTCATATTTACATGTACATTAATGTATTTTATTTTTTCTTCCATAAAAGTTGCAGATTCTTCAAGGTTAACTTCTTTGTATTCTTTGTACTCTTACAAGATAATTGGAGACATCAAAATACAACCATGTGCAAAAGAAGCTTCTTTTCAGCTTGAGTCGCATGTTGCACTAAGCTTTAGGAAAGGTTTGTATAACAGATATAAGAACTGAACTATGGTTTACTGAATTAACCCAGGTTCATGCAACACACTAAAACATAAAATAATCACCTTATCTAGATTTGCATAACACATTGGGCCATAAAGCAGCCAACCACAGTTTAGCCTTGCATTCTGTAATCCCAGCCATCGTGTGATTTGCTTTGGTTAATCATGTGAACACAATAAATGTGGCTTATAAACAAACCATGGTTTAGCACAATGCACAAGTCTGATCATATTTTTACAGTACAAAAGCATCATTTTAAGGCACCTTCAAAAGTAAAGATTTATGGTAGAACGAGCTACAAAAATGTAGTCTGTGGCTTTATTTTAGGCCAAACACAATACCAGGTTTCTGTACAGAAGGAACCTATACATTATTGTTTTCTTCCAGCAGAGGGCAAGAGAACATTAGCTAAATTTTAGTGAAAAAAAATATTTCAGCCAATCATCTGATTTGATTCTGTTTTTGAATTTCAGAGACTATTATGAAAAAAGCAAAAGAAAAGACAAATGTAAGTGACCTTTGGACAACAGAGTATTCATGGTTTTGTAAGGGGGTATCTCTGTATTTGCAAATATTAGAGAATAAGCCTTAATAGTGACAAGGGAGTCTAATTTTGTTGCTGTAGCGAAAATGTGTTGTACTGCTACTGGAAAAGTGCAAGTATGCCAGTTTGCTCTGTTGCAAAAAATAAAAATAGAGGTTAAAACAAGGAATGGATTTAAATCCAGTATTTTATTAACCCAGTATTTTATTAAGCAGACAGCCAGTCTGGTATAGTGGTTAAGGCAGCAGGCTAGAAAGTGGGAGACTGTGAGTTCTGTTTTCGCCTTAGGCACAAAACCAGATGGGTGACCTTGGGCCAGTCACTCTTTCTCAGTCCTAGGAAGCAGGCAATGGCAAACCACTTCCGAAATCTTGCCAAGAGAAACGTCAGGGACTTGTCTAGGCAGTCGCCAGGAGTCAACACTGACTCAAAGGCACAAATAAAAATAAAAATGTTATTAACCAGTGTGTTTGGTTTGTCCTAAAGTGTAGTGAAATGTAATCCCACCCAGTTGCTGTCCTCTATCTGTCCATGTCATTTTGTGAGGAACAAGTCCTTAGAATATTGGAGGATGGTTTTTAAAGGGCAAGTCTGACAGATACTATTTGATGCAGAGATTCAGTTTGAATCTCTCATTCAAACTGGATTTTTGAATGTAATCAGCAAAATCCAATGAATCATTCTATCAGATGCCTTTGAATCAATCAACCATCATCAGGCAGATAATCTGGATGGTTTCTGTTCATGTACAGAATTTTTCTTTAATTAAGATATCTGAACTGAATCAGATTGATTTTCTGAATCCTATTGGGACTTTGAGTCAGGTAGCAAATAAAATTATACCTGATTTGTATACCATAGAGCCAGTTTGGTGTAGTGGTTAAAGTATAATGCTAGAAACTGGGAGACCATGAGTTCTAGCCCCACCTTAGGTTACAAAACCAGCTGGGTGACCTTGGACCAGTCATTCTCTCTCTCAGCCCTGGGAAGCAGGCAATGGCAAATCACTTCCGAAATCTTGCCAAGAGAAACGGCAGGGACTTGTCTAGGCAGTCTCCAGAAATCAAAAACTGATTCGAAGGCAAAAAAAAATTGTATGCTCCAGTGTCCGAATAGCAGAGTACATCTATTGCAAAGCATGCCCTTCTCTTGCCACCCCTGTACGGTATACATTCTTTCTAGGTATTGACAATATAATCATTTGTTCTGTTCAGATAACACGCAAAGCCTTTAATGTAGTTGATGTGCTTATGGCTTAATATTTGGTGTGAACCAGGCCAGTGTGATTTGTAAAGGATGCTTTAGAGCTGACCATGTTAAGGCATGGTTTGTATAAAAATTGGCAGATCTGGCTTAACATAGTATCTGTGCATGTTATGTGAACCCAGCCAATGAACTTAGTACAGAAAACCCCAATTGGCATGTTGTGTGAATATTTCTATCAAATAAAATTGCCCTGTTAATAGCATTAAGCCATTTCTCTTCATCAGTTGGAATTCTCTAAATAAAAAAGCCACATTATTTCCAAAGATTTAAAAGCAACCAAGGTTTATTTTGATAACTGAGGCAGAAAAGTGCAAAAGTACTTCTCCGCTCCCTTGCTATACAGGTAGTTCTTGTTTAGCAACTGCCTCATACAGTGACCGTTTGCAATTATGACAAAGATGAAAAAGTAACTTTGTGACTAATCCTCGCATTTATGACCTTCACAGGTCTGTAAAGCAAAGGAAATCTGAAGTAAGATAATAAGCATAGTTGTGGTTTCACTTAGTGACCACTTCACTTAGCGACCAAGTAGCTGGTCCCAATTGTGGTCACTAAATGAGGACTACCTGTATATTACAGTCATAGCAAATTATCATTTGCTGCCTTTTTAAGACTATCACTTGTGTCTAGAAGGCTATTTTGTGTTAATGGACAGAGCTTTTTGAACTGACTATTTTTGGCTTGTGATTAATATGTTATAAAAAGGCTTCAGGCTAATTTGTTCTTCTAAACATGTACCTTATTTCTGAGCATTTTATCCTGAATGTCATGTCATTCCCCATGTATTCTGTTGGATTCCTTTTTCTAGATAGAAGGGACGTGGCTGGTCATATGATTAATTATTAAGCGCTTTAGTATTTTGGAAAAAGAGATGTCCTGAATTTTTTTTAAGGAAAGAAAGGTTTACGTACTTTCAGGTTTGAAGGTCAGTGCAACCATGGACAGAAAGTAGAGAGAGCAGATTCTCACTTAGTGTACCAAAAACTGGATGTGAGCCAATCTGGCATAGAGACCATAAACTAACGATGTATGAAAAAAAACTGATCTCCATGGTAATTCCTTTGCAACTAAGCATGATAGATGGCACACCGATATTATTTAGCTGCTGCTTAATATAGACTGCATCTATGTTTAA